GGGACCAGCGGCAGAACCGAGGCCTGTGCGGGGACAGGGGTTCCATGCAGTGTGGTGTCTGCAGGGGAGGGCCGGGCTCCGGGGTGGGTGTCTGCAGGTGAAGGCCCAGGAGGCCCAGGCCCTGCCGGGAGGGGCGGGGCGGTGGAGGGAGCTGGAATGTGCATGTGAATCCCTCCGCCTGCTCCCTGCCCGTGCTTCCCAGGCAGGGTGACCCTCAGCAATGCTGTGTCAGAGTTCAGGGAGGAACGGACGGATGTAATATAGCATTACAGTCCACACACATACATGATTTACAGGGCAGGGCTTCAGGGGCTGCCTGCAGAGTCAGGTGTGGGAGAGTGCGAAGGAGCTGTCTGCACACAGGAGAGCTGAACAATCCAGTCAGGCAGAAAATTTGGAGCTCACTGCAGAGTCCCCTTGGCGTCTGCGTCAGGAAGCCGAAGGGTCGATGTTGGAAGTCTGAAGAGTCTGAGCTGGAGGCCTGGATATGGACTTCCAAAGGCGATGTGAAGACTGGAGCTCCTCCACAGAAACCCTAAGCCAGACTTCCTCCTTCTCCTCATTTTTATCCCATCCAGACTGCAAGCCTACTGTCTGGCACCCAGAGTAGGTCTTCCCGCTTCAGGAACTCCACACCCAGACCCAGAGCTGTGAGCTGTGCTAAACTCGTCCATGGCTGTTCCCATCTGATGTCACAGGTGAGGATCACAGGTGTCCACCTCTCTCCCCATCTGGCCACAGAGGACTGGCTGTGGAGGACCACGGCAGGGACCAGCTGCCAGCAGAGGGCGCTCAGGGGTGGAGCCCCAGGTGGCCTGTGGCACTGGGCAGGTCACCTTCTCTGCCTGGTCTGTTGTCCCCGGTGCCCTGTGTCTCTGACCTTGGGACCAGGGTCACCAGGCTGACAGCACAAGACCAGGAGGCCTCCAGGCCGGGTTCCCAGACCCCTGGCCCTGTGTCACCCTTGGCCGTATGCACACTGACTCCTCAGCCCCGCCTGCCCTCCCTTCACCCTCCAACATCACAGGAGGGCCTGGTTGGCTCACGTCGCCTCCAGACCACCTGTCCCTCAGCACTGAGTGGCAGGGGGAGGCCCCACCCACTCACCAGGGTCAGGTTCACTCCTCCATCTGCGGACGGCCACCAAGCCACAGCCCCTAAATGTCCCTGTGGCTCCCAATCTGTGAAGTGATCTGAGGCCCAGAGAAGGGCAGAGCAGAGTGGGAGGAAGGGGAGGGGGCCCAGGCAGCGGAGTGAGGAGGGGACAGAGACCTTGCAGTGGGAGCTGGCCCCATCCCAGATGCCAAGGCCCTGCAGGCGACATCGCCCCGGCCACCCACTGCACCCCCCTGCCAGAGCTGGACAGCTGCCCCATCCCCAGCCCTCCGCCATGCCTGCCCAAGAGCCCTGGGAGCCTGGAGCACCTCTTCCTGTGCCGGGGAGAGGCTGAGAGCTTACGTTAAGGTCAGGTGGGATTAAGGGCCGTGTTCGGGTGAGTGTTAGGGCCAGGTCTAGCAGGGTTTGCTCACTGGCTGTGGGGCCGGGGTGTCTGTGGGTACATGGTGTGCTTTGGCTTCATCACTGAGCACATTGATAATAACTGACCAGGAGACTGCTGTTTAGTTACAGGTTAGGAAAAGTAGGCGTAGGGCTAAGGACAGGATTGGGCTGAGGGTGACAGTGAGGGGTAGGGTGAGAACTGGCAGTGGGGTTCGTGAGAGGGTTGGGGTCAGAGTGAATATGAGGGTTAGGGTGAGGCTTGTGGTTAAGGGTTAGGGTTAGCATTGGGCTTAAATTAGGGCCAAGGTTAGGGTTTGGAGTTGTAGTTTTGGGTTAGGATCAGGGTTAGGGTTTAAAGTTAAGGGTTAATGTCTAGAGAAGGGCTGGGTGCTGGCTTCAGAGTTAGGGTAAGGATGGTTGAAGTTGGCCTGACAGTGGGGCTGAGGTCGGGTTTCGTGTTAGGTGTTTGGGTTTAGGGTTAGTGGTGGTGCTTATGATTCAAGGCAGGTGTGAGGGCTAAATTTAGGGGTTAGGGTGAGCATGACTGCTAGGGTAAGGATGGGTGAGATGAGGATTAGGGCTCAGGAGAGGCTTAGGGTTAGGGTGAGGTCTCGTGTCAGAGTGAAGTTGAGGCCTGGGTTAGTTTATGGGTACCTGAGGTGTAGGGTTAGGGTTAGGGTTTGTATGAGTTAGGAGGTTAGGATAGGGTGACGGTGAGGGTTAGCATACCAGAGTAATGCTAGCTTTCCCAGATGAGGTTGACGGTGACCTGCCTTTTTCAATTTCCTGAGGGGTAGCAGGAGTTTTAGCGCCAGTTTTTCCCGAAATTCTGACACAGCTCTGCTTTCGTCTCTCTCTCTCTCTCCCTCTCTTCGCTCTCTCTCTCTCTCTCTCTCTCTCTCTCTCATTTTCACTCTGGTAGGTTTGGATTTGGTTGGTTCTTGCTTTTCCAGGATCCCAGGTGTATCATTAGGTTATTTATTCGGGATTGCTGTTGTTTAGGATGAGCATTCACAGCTGAGATCTTACTTCTTTTAACTGCTTTCACTGCGTCCCTTGGTTTGGTATGTTGTGTTTCTGTCACTGTTTGATTTGAGGAGCTTTTAAACCTCTTCCTCATTTCTTCTGTGACCCGTTGATCATTCAAGATTGTGTTATTTGTCATCTCCATGTTTTTGTGTAATTTTGGTGGTTTCTTTGGCTGTTGATTTTTGCTTTTATTCCTCTATGGTCTGATAGTATGCAGGGGATTTTTTCAATTCCTTTGAATTGATCTAACCCTGCTTTATGGCCTAAGATATAGTGTGTTTTCAAGAAAGTTTCGTGTGCCTCTGGGAGAAATGTGTATTCTGGTTTTGGATAAAACCCTGCGGCTATCACTTCGGTCCATTTGTTTGATGGTGGCCGGCTGGGGTGGCGTTGTCCTTCTGTCCCATTTTTCTCAGCCTGCCACATTCAGTAGAGAAATGAATGGCCAAGTTCCACCATTGGTAAGCTGCGTGCGGGGTTTGACTTGAAGGCAATCGTGTTCAGGCCCCCGATCTAACGGACTGACCCGGCGATGATTCCTACTGTCATCTGTAGGACCCTGGCTGCAATTGAGTCCTTGCTTCCCATCTTGCAGACTTGAGCGGTCTGCTTAACCTCTCTGGGCCTCCTCCTCCCCAAAAGAGAAGTTCAATCAAGGAGCATCAACGTGGGGTCTGCAGAGATACCCCAGTTTCAGGGCCCTGTCCTAAGAAAGGCCAACTTTGGGGACGTGGTGCACTTACAGGCCACATGGTGGCGATGTGAGCAGCAGTACTGCAAAGTCCAGGGCAGGGATGGCGAACCTTTTAGAGCTTTCAGGGACACAAACTGGCCCCTGCAGCACAGGTGCCATAGGTTCGCCACCACGGGCCTGGGGGACGCTCCTTTCCTGCCCTGGTCCTTCCTACTGGCCCAGAAACCTGCTCTGCTGAGTGAAAGTCTGCACCTGCTGGTCCAGGTCGGGAAGGAAAAAAAAACAAAGGAGCCAAGGCTGCTGTTGTGGCGGGGAGTGGTGACCACCTGGGCCAGTCGCTGTGTCGGAGGCGTCTGATGAGAGGACTTGGGTGTCTGTTCTGTTTGGTGTCCTCATAGATGTGGCTGTTTGGAAGTAACGTTTTCATTTGTGTTACAACCACTGACTGGCTGCTCTTAGTAAACCAATAGGAAGCCAGTGTGGAGGGCGGGAAGCACAAAGCGACCCCATTCTGCAAAGCTGGTGTCGGCAAAGCCCTTGCATCAGCCCCATCGCCTCTGGGCACAAAGCAGTGAAGATGCCAAGGGCCCACGATGCAGCTGGGTGTGGTTTGCGTGACAGGCCCTGGGCCCCTGCCTACCTGCACATGGGGAGTCCCCGAGATGGCTTTTCCTAGAGTCAAGGCTTCTGTCTGCAAAGTGTGCTTCCTCTCAAAACACATCCATGGCCCCCTCGGAAACCAGTCTTCCAGGGCTCCCCACGGGGCCCATAGACCTTATCATTAGGATTCCGCATGCACAGGAGATAACCTTGGAGTGGAAATCAAGACACAGTGCTGCTGTGCTCAGTTGTACAGGCTGGGCACTGCACCGAGTCTGCTCAGCAAGCACCATCCGTATCCCTCTGCTGGCCCGTGAGGTCTCGGGCACCATGAGGAAAGTGTCCCCAGCCTGCTCAAGAATCTCAAGGACTGGCAATTGTCAGGACCTTGTCCAGCTGTGCCGGCACTCTGTCCCTGGCTGCCTGTCTCCCTCCGGGGTTTCACTACCTCATTACTGACCTCTGGCCCCCTGGTGCCCCAGAGCCCAGCCTGTGCCCCCCACTCCAGCGGCTCAGGTGGCTTCAGTGACAGAGGCACCTCTGACGTCAAGCCCGGTCCCTGGGCCTCTCTGTCCGCTCTGCTGGGCACAGCTGAAGTCCACCTGTGCTTTGTGGCATCTTCTTTTCTTTTTTCCTCAGTCAGTACTGGGGATTGAATGCAGGGCCTCCGCACCAAGCTACCTCCCCAGCTCTCTCTTTTTATTTTTGGGGGGTCACTAAATCACTAAGCTGCCCGGGATGGCCTGGAACTTGCAACAAGCCAGACTCAGCCTCCAAAGCACTGGGACCACAGTTGTGGGCCCCAAGCCCGGCTGGCTCCTTCTTCTATGTAGAAGCCTGCATTTGTGTGTGTGTTCCTTCCAAGTCTTGCTCACTGAGACTTTCCAGCTCATTTCTATATGCATGGTTGTGTGGGATTCTGGACACGCAGTTGCATTTTTATTTAATAATCAGTTTTTTATCTGTACTGAGCAAATGGAAGCTGTGTTGAGAAGCTGTCTGAAGATGCTGTTACCCAGTGGCTTTGGGAAAAGGATTTTCAAGTAGCTTTTGAGGGTCTGGTGGGGTTTTAGTGAGCGTCTGTGTGTGAGGTGCTGGGGGTGGGGCTGGGGCCTCCTAGGCAGGTGCTCTACCCCGAGCCACAGACACCACAGCCTTTTCTGTGGTTCTTTTCCCCTAAGAAGATTGACTCTGGTCCTACTCAGGCTGCTGCTAGGACATCTGGAGTCAAGGGGACATGAGTGACCTGTGCCTGCAAGGCTACTTCACCCCACGTCTCAGGAAGACACCCCAGAGCCCATTGCTAGCTGTGCCTTCCTGGAATCCAATGCCGGGAAACCGAAGGAGTCAAACGCAGAGTGGCTCCCAGCGTGGCACTGTGAGGAGACCCCAGTCCTGTGCTCCTTGGTGTCACACGTGGTCAGGGCACCCGGTAGATGCGGCTGGGGTCCTGCTGGGCGTTCCCAGGGGGTCCCTCTCCCACTGGCCCTGCCTGGCCCTCTGCCGCCTTGGGGATGTCAGGACTGCTTAGGGGATCGACCTCCAGGTGGCAGCAGGGACTTCCGCTGCTTTTGTTCCAAGAAGCTGCTGTGTCCTCAGCTCAAGGACCCAGGGACACTTGTCCCTGCTTTTAGTGGACGACCTGGGCAACTCTTACCTCAGTACACCGGTGCTCCCACCCTCTCTCCTGCAGGACACCTTCAGCACCCTGCCGGGGATCTGCATGGGGTAAATTACAGCCCCGGAGACAGCCAGGCTTCAGTCTTCCACCGAGGTAAGAGGCGCCACCTCTGAGGGGAGGAGGGAGGGCCTTTCCCTGGCCTGGGACCTCCTCCCTTCACCAAGGAGCCGGGGACACTGCTCAGATGCCTGGGACGTTCGCAGGGACTGCTCAGGGACAGGCCTTTGTCTCCCTCAGCTGTGTGGACACCTGGCTGCGTCTGTAGTGCCCCTTGGAGTGTTTGGGAACGTGTCAGAGAGGCGCGGGTGTCCAGAGGCAGACAGGAGGTGGCTCAGATGACACAGTGTCACCTGGGACCCAGGAGAAGTGCATGTGGCCCAGAGGGCAGCACCTCCTCGGGAGCCAGCAGGAGGGGGCAGGTTTCAGCTGGGACAACACAGCAGCAGGTGCTGGTCTCAGAGCGAGCAGGCTGGGCCCAGCCCGGGGAGCAGAGGGATCCATGTGGAAGTGTATTCCTGGTGCCTCCAACTCACTTCCTCCCCGGCCTTCAGGCCTCTGTCCTCTGTGTCCACCCTTAGAGGCTGAGAGAATTTGACCCAGCAGTTTGGGGTTGGTAGCAGCAAAGCTGGGATCTGAATTCACATCGGTGGAAATCTGCACTCTCCGCCATAGTCCTATCCCTCCTGGCTGTTTCAGTTCAGGTTCAGCAAAACGGAAATTTCCCTTCCTGCTCCACCAGAGCTGCGTCTCAGCCTGGGGTCAGTTTGCTCCCTGCTGGACGGAGCAGAGAGGGCAACTCGGGCTGGGGACTGCTGTCCGGGGAGCCCGGTGCTGACCCCAGGTCTAGGCTTCCACGCTTTGCGCCTCATGCTTTGGTCGATAACTTTCAAGGGGTCACAGCCCACTTTGCAGAGGACTGAATTTTAAAACTTTTAAAACAGGGCTGGGGATTTAGCTCAGCGGTTCGGTGGCCTGCCTCGCAAGCGCAAGGACCCGAGTTCGGTCCCTGGTACCAAAATAAAACCTTTTAAAACAATTTTAGCCTCAGAAAAACTTTTAGTCACTATAGAAAGTTCCCCTCACTCATCTGACAGGCAGCTGCCAAGCGCACGTCACCTCACTCCTGGTCAGTTTCGAGTGCACCTACGACCGGTGGGACATTTCCTTGCCTATCTGCAGAGAAGTCCCCAAAATCGGGAAACAACACCGGTGCCCAGGGTCTTCAGGCTCCTGCAGGTTTCCTTTTGTCCCCACTTTGTCCTCTGCCACTGACAGCAGATGATGCCAGCCCAGAGTCACCGCGGCCTCTGACTGTCTGTGTCGCCCACTGCTCCGTGAGTCCCTCCTGGGTTTGTCGCCTTCCTCGGCTGAGCCTGAGAGCCGTGTGTCCTGGCAGGAAAATCCCAGCAGGGACATTGGACCTCCTCCGGTGCCTCCCGACTGACCCCTTGGAGGGTGAGGCCATGTGGCCAGAGGTGAGGTGTCCTCTTCAGTGTCCTTCATGCTCCCTTCCTCACCACGGGTTGCCAGCAAGCAGGTCCCACTGGGGGAGTGGGCATCGGGTCCCCTGGTCCTGCCGGGAAGTCCACCCCGGTGTTCTGAGCTTGAGCCACTCGCCCTCCCGGGGTCACAGCCCTGCGGGGGCTTCAAGCTTTGTCCTCAGCCGCTCTTTAGTCCTGACAGCCAGTAGCTGCCGGGTTCCTGGGCCTGAGCCTCAGCCTCCTCCCATCAGGGAGAAACAGAGGTGATCACTGAGGGCCTGTGGGGACCATGTGCAGGGTCTGGGGATTTGGGGCTCCTGGGTGCCCCACTCGGAGCCTGGGCATGCTTGACATCGGGGATGCAGCTCCCTGTCCACTGAGGGGCCACAGGCCCTACCTCCAGCCCTGACAGGTGTCCTGGGTCCCACCGAGAAATCTGGGCAGCTCGGTACCCCTGAGCATTTGGAGCAGGATGGTCCTGGATTCCCATCTAATTCAGCGCCTACCATGGACACACTGGACAAGGAAGGGGACCCTACGTCCTGGGCACAGAATGTGCGTCCCACTGTGGCTTGCTGGCTACAGAGGGCAGACTGCAGGAAAGGGGTCCCAAGCCTTCCAGCCCTCAGCCTGGGCCCCCATCTGACGTCTCCTTCTGCGGTCTCAGGGCGTCACTGCCCCCTTAGGCTGGGGCCCAGCTCTGGGGCCCTGTTTTCCTGGTGGAGAAGCCACTGTCTCGTGCCCCAGCACTGTCCTCACAGTGGCTGAGATGCAGGCTGACCACAGGCTCCCAGCAGCCAGGGCCGGTGGGGCCAGAGCCTGTATTTCCACAGCAACGGTGAAGGAAGGTATGGGACACACTTCTGAGCTCTGAGTCGGGAGGGGCCCGCTTATTTCAGGGTCCCAGACCCCGAGGGAGGTACAGGGAAAGGTGAGTGTTGGGTCCGATTCTGAGGAATCTCAGGTTCCGGTCTGACTCAGTTTCTTCCACAGGTCCTCACCTTCTGCCCCCACCGCAGACGGGGACACGAGGCTGGGTGGGAGCAGCATCCTGACATCCAGAATGGAGACTGGAGCCCACACTGAGGCCCACACTGAGGCCATTGCAAGGAAGGTTTGAGGCAGGAGACGGGGTGCAGAGAGGCTGGCTGGGGAAATAAGTGGGAGACCAGTCGATTGCAAGACCCCAAAGGAGCACCACATAACCCCAGGACCCCGAATGTGGATGGCACAGAAGGACACAGATGCCACGAGGAGCTGCCATTGACCCTTCACAGTGCCACCCCGTGTCCCTCCCCTCACAGAGCGCTGGTCTTCAGTGTGGCTCCTGCTCAGGGTCCAGGTGAGAAGCTGGCCGAAGAGGCTTCACACCTGCGCGTTCCTTCAGCAGACAGACCCAATGCGCTGTTCAGTCCCTTGAGGCCGCTGGGTCCTGCGGGGTGACTCGAGCCCACCGCGTGTCCCCCGAGACACAGTGAAGGGGGCTTGTCTTGCGTCTCCTGCGGGACTTTTACAGCCGCTACACTTCCGGTAAGGGGACGCCGGGCCAGGGTCACCTGGGAAGATTCTCCCTCTGCGACAATGACTGGTGGGAGAAAGGAGAGAGAAGAGCAGGGCCGGGGAAGGGCCCCGGGGCATCCGGACGGCCCCTCTCCTACAGATGTCTGCGTCCCTGCGTCCTCAGTCCCCACGCCGCTCAGACGCCGGGATCCTCCGCGCTCGCAGCTCTCTGGCCGCCAGCTCAGCTGCACGGACCCAGCTGGAACCGCTCTCAGCGACACCGGGATCTGCACGACGCTGCTCTTGGCCCCATCGCCTGCTCTGTGCCGCGTCTCCCAGCCGACTCCTCCTGCCCATCTGGACCTGCTCCCGTGACCAACAACCCCCTTCCCTCTCTCTACCCGGGTCCACCCTTACGTTAGATTGGTCCGTGGACAGTGGGATGACAGAACATGAAGAATCCAGCAGGCCGCACAGCTGTATCAGCCACCTACTCAGGTGTGCTCCTGACAGCCCTGTCCTCCAGCCCAAGGGAGCATTGGTTTCTGCGTCCACAGGTGTCTCTGGGGCGGCAGGCAGCACTACAGGCTGGGAACGCAGGTCGCGATGGAGTCCCCTCGCCCCTGACCTTGTCATGAGCGTAGGCTGTTTTGGGTAATTCCATGGTGTCGCTTGGGAGGAAGTTTTTCTATTCCCCACGGGAAATAAATGCTGGGGCTGGAGGAGGCACAGTGAGGGCTACACAGAGAGTGTTGGCCACGTGTGGGCTGCAGTTGGGAATGGCAGGCGTGGGCTCTTCCACCTCCCTCTTCCCTGACCGCCCATCCTTCCCAGGCAGGTGAGTTCAGAAAGCAAAATGGAGACAGAGCGAGGGGCTGTTTCACTGAGCCTCCTGCTGGGGAGAAGAGCCAAGGTGGAAGGATCTGAGGGTGATGGGCAAGGTGTAACCCAGATTCACAGCGTCCACGCTGATGGTATCGCCTGGACCCAGCGGGCCTGGTGTGCTGGTGTCCTCTGTCACCATCACCTCAACAGTCCTTCTCTGTCCGAGTGTCCTATCCCGTGAGGGCCGTGGTCCCTGTGAGACACGGACCTCCAAATCCACACAGACAAAGCGAATGTTCCACCCCACAGCCGAGCCCTGCAGGCCCGTGAGCAGGGCCTGGGCCTCCGGAGTGATGACACTGGGCATGTGTGCAGAAAGGGCAGATCAGAAGCCGTACCTGGCATGTCACCTCGCTGCAGATCCAGAGGTGCCCACGGTGCTCGGGAACTCACCCAGCTCCAGACGTGCACTGCAGAGCCATTGTGTACTTTGCCCTGCAGCTCTTGGGAGCACAGTACGGGACAGCAGGCTTGGCCGGCTTCTGCCCGGGCCCTGTCACTGACCGTGCGGTGTCCTCCAGTGCCCACAGAGTGTTCTCCAGCTGAGGGGTCTGCGCGTGATGCCCTGACTTTGGCAGGAGTATGTGGTCCACAGGACCCCACTCTGGGCCTCCTCTTCCTGCAGGGGCTGCCTGCAGGATGCCAGCAGTTGTCCCCCACTGGTGCCCTCCTTGACCTGGTGCACTGAATTGTTGTTCTGAGCACTTGAAAGAGCTTCACCACATTTGGGTGATGTGGAGCCTTCATCACTAAGGACGTTTGGCAGGAATTCACATCTTTGCTGTGACCCATGGCAACTGGTGACAGCTCCCTGGGGCCCAATGTGGGGCCTCTCCAGCCTGCTGCAGGAGTCTCCCAGACCCCACAGTGCACTGGCCACTCACCTTGATGGACACTATGTGTTAGGGACCTGATGCCCAACACCATCACAGGCTGTATTCTCCTGGTTCTTCTTGCCTCTTAAAATGACTTCTTATCTTTAGTTTCCCTCCCCCCAAGGCCACAGCAGTCTGGAGGGGTTAAACCTGAGTTTCTTCAGGACTGAACCCATAAAAGACAACCTGGCCTGTGATAGGTTAAAAGTAGCCCACTCCTCATAGATAAGCAATAGCCCAGCCCCAAAACCATAAAAAGACCTTCCTTTCTTTGTTCTCTCTTCCCCTCTCCTCTCTCCCTAACCTGCCTTCCAGAATAAAATCTGTCAGAGCTGAGCGTGTGGCCTAGTTGTTGAGCTTAGCTGTGCCTGCACACTCTGGGTAAGTGAGCCCCCAGCGAGATTACAGTCCCACCTGTATCACTCCCCCGGGCCCTTCTTTCTCTTCCCTAACCCTCTTTTTGACTTGGGGACTCCGAAGTCACTTAAGGAAGGAACCCTGAATAACCAGGAATACGCAGTGGTGTTGGTCATCCTGATTGGTTGTTTGTTTCATTATGCAGGATTGTGGGTTTAGAGTAGCTTGATTCTCCCTCCTCACAAACAAAAAATAAAAAAGAAAAGAAAAAAAACCTTTTTGTTCTCTCCCTACGGCCCCCATTTAATTCCCAGGATACCAGGGATAACTGAATACTGGGCAGGGTCCAATCCCCCCTGGATTTCCTTGTGGTTTTTTTCACACCACAGCTTGCTGTTGGCAAGCCCTGTGATATCAGCACAAATTCTCTCATGCACCATTTACAAGCAGCACACGACTCCCCTTCCAGCTCTCCTGCCCGCCAGTCTCCTCTTGCCAAGGCCTGGGCTACAGCCCATACCGCTGCATTTGTCGACTGTCCGTCGCCAGTTCACCAGTGCAGACTCCGAGGTGCACTTGAGACTCGGGCAGCCGGTATAGAGCCCAAACTGACTCCATTTTGAAAAAGTTACTCCATTCTGTGATCAGGCCACCACCCAGTTACTGAAAAAAACCCTCTCATTGTAGCCATAGCCCTGGCCTTTGTTCAAATCCTGGCTTAGGAATGTAAGGCAATCTTGTACTGCTGAAGTCTGGATCCTGATTAACATGTAAATTAATGGTTCTAGACTATGAGATACATAGAGACCCTAAGTTAATTATCGAACTGTTTGCTCATCCGGAATGTCTTGGTGGCCTTTGAACCATCCTATAGGTATCTGTTAATTATCAATGTGTGACTGCCAAGTAAGTGACTGCTGACCACCAACTCAAGTCAGCAAACCTTTGTCCCCTACCTGCATTTTCAAAATGTTAACCAATCAGGCACTGACCTGCCCAGAAAGCCCCTAGTTCTGCTTCTTTGGTGATAAAAAGCCTGTTTGAAACTGGTTTCGGGGCTCTCGGTACGAATTCGCTATGTCAGTGATGTCCAGGAGTCCAGGCTCAAGCTTGCAATAAGCTCCTCATGCGATTGGATCAGACTCAACTCCTTGGTGGTCTTTGGGGATATCGCAATCCGGGCACAATACCGGGAGGAGAAACGCAGAGCCGTGGGCTGGATTAGACGTCTTTACTCTCAGGTGAACTCATCCTGCTCACACCAGAGCAACAAGTAGAACCTAAACTCAGGTCCAGGTCAGAGCGTGGGCCACGGAAAGGGAAGCAGCCCATCGGACCAGGGACTGAAGCAGACAGCCTGGCTTCTGACGGCCACACGGATGGCTTGGAGTCTCCAAGCACAGCCAGAAACCGCGAGCGCTCAGAACTGACACAAATCTTAGGAAACCAGAGCATGGACCTGTCACTGTCTGACGGAGGCGGTGGCGGCGGCGCAGCAACAAATGGCAGTGGGGGCAGAGAACAGCTGAGCCGAGGCTGCTGGGCAGTAAAGCTGACGGTTGCTGGGAGCTGGGGCAGATGGGGAGCCGGGAGTGAGCCCAAGGCCGGAAAGAGGCAGCAGCTACAGGGCAGTCCTGGGAGACAGCAAGGGGCCCAGAAGAGGGCGAGGGGTTTGGGCCTATGAAGCAGACTGGGGACAGTCAGGTGGCAGGCTGTCCACCCTCCCCAGACAGTTCTTCAGCAGCTCTGAAGGGGAAGCAAGTGGTCCAGACCAGGGCAGGACACTGGCAGGGCTGCGCGGCCCTGCGGATGATGCGGCGTCGGTGTCTGGATCTGACGGGGGCCGGGCCAGGGGCCTGCTTAAGGGGGTGTGAGGACAGCGGGCTCATGTGGAACTGCTGCCCTCTGGCAACCACGTGTGCCCCCCATGCTGGTGCTAATGGACACTGAGAAATGGTGGTTTATAACAGTGCTGGGGAGTCCCTGAGTAAGGCACAGGTGACTACGAGGGACAAACCAGCACAATGACTGTTAGGGAACTGATCATGTTAAAGTATATGCTGTGACGCCGCCATCACAGGCTGCATTTCCCTGGTGCTTCTTGGCTCTTAGAATGACCTCATGCTCTCATCTTCAGTTTCCCTCCCACCAAGGCCACAGCCAGACAGAGAAGTTGAAATCTGTTTCTGCTAGGCTGGACCCATAAAAGACAAGCTGGCCTGTGATAGGTTAAAAGTAGCTCACTCCTCATAAGTAAGCAATAGCCCCGCCCAAAACCAATAGAAGGACCTGCCTCTCTTTGTTCTCTTCTTCCCTTCCTCTCCCCTTCCTCCTCTCCGTCTCTGCTCTCTCCCTCTCCTCCCACCCCTTGAATAAAGTCACTGTTCGCTTTCAATGACACCTCCTCTGTGACTCTGGGTGTGGGCCGCCTGCCCCCCTGGTCCCCTCCCCCACTGTTGCCTTTGCATTTTATTGGAGGTGGGGAGGGGCTGCTATCCTGGCTCCCAGCACCTGGCCTCCTTCTAGCTCTGCCCGCCAGCCCTCCATACTTTGCTTAGCGTCAGTCCCCAAGCCATTTAGTGCCTTTCTTTATCTGGTTTTTTTTCTTCTCCACCCTGGTCCTTTTAATTGCACCCTCCAGTCATTTTTTAGCTCTTCCTAGTCAGCATTAGCCAGAATGCTTAATGAGGCCCATATTCTATTCTTCCCAGCCCACAGGCCCCTGCCCCTCCCTTAACCTTTTGAGAGGTAGAAGCTAACTTGGAATACAAAGGACTTCTGAGCATCTGTGACCTTCTCTAGTCCTCCATAGGTCACGAGCATCTGCCCCCCAGTATTCAGGTCTTTTTAAATGCAAAGCTGAGAGGACCTGCCGCGGAGGTCCTCCCAGCTGCGGGTGGCGGTGAGGACGACACAGGCTGGTGTTCCTGTGCTCCTAGCACTATGGGCGGTGCTCCTGCAGCAGCAGTAATTACACATGCCTACGCATTTCGCATTCTGAGCAGAGCCCCTCTGATAATGAAAAGATTAACATGGTCACCTGAGCAACACCAGCAGTGCAGTCTGCTTTAGTTTTAGAAAGTGTCCGGGAGGAGCCTGAAGCAGGCTCCACCAGCCACGGCTACACTGGGTCCTTGGGAAATGAGACTTGCTTAAAACAGTCGACATACAGCCGCCCCCCACTGCGCTGGTTGTTGACGAATAATGAAGAAGCAAATTACTCTTTCTCAAATGGTGCAATAAAGCAAGACTGGCTGCTTCCCGCCTGTGGAGCCCTCCCGCCTCCACCTGCTGTAATCAAGGCACTGCTCCTGGTCTGGAAGAACTCTGCCCCACCAGACCTGGTCAGAGGAGATTAGATGCCTCTCTCAGCCATTCCGCTGCCGAAGAAAAAGTGTGCAGAGGAGCTGATGTCTAAAATCCATTTCCATGGGCACCTTCGGTCGAGCCAGAGAGTCTGCTGCTTTATTACCTGGTAAAATGTGTGCTCCAAGCAGTCAATTTCATTTGATTTGGTCCTAATGGATTTTTTTTTCAATCTTCTTTCAAAGCCTAGACCAGATATCACATTTCAGTAGCTCAAAGGCAAGCTGGGTTGGCTCCTTGGAGAAACGGCGGATTCCAGACTGGGACAAGGGCGTGCAAAGTAAGTCTGGAATAGGTGCTCATTGATTGGGGAACATTCAGGGTCGGCCTGAAGGGACTCCTGCTGGTCAAACCTGGACATAGCTGAGTGTCCAAAGGAATAACGACAGGGATGGAACAAAAATGAGTCCACAGCAAAACTGGATAGAGAGAGAGAGGCTGACTCTCGTCTCTACAGATGATGCCAACTACTAAATACAGGAAGAATGGTTTACAACCACCATAGAAATAATAGATTCTGGCAATGACTTGGCAGTGCACACAAGTTATTACCTGAAAAATAGGAGGGATCGGGATAGCCCCGGGGTCTACAGATTAGATATCAGAAAGGCAAACTGGTGCCTTTCAATGGAGAAATCTAGTCGATGTCCCCTTAACCAGAGCATCAGCGCCTTTACCAATGAGAAGAAAACGGATCATGTGCCCACATGACATTGCCTACATCCTGCTGAAAACATTTAGCCTATATCAAAGTACAATGAAGGAAGTCAGATGAATCCAAGTAGAAGAGCACCCTGCAGTCATGGACTGGACCCATCAAACGTGATTAGAACAGGGAACAGAAAAGATCAGAGAGCCATTTGCACTTAAAAGAGACTACAAAGAAGTGAAGCCAAAGGCTGGGGGGGATAGCTATAATGGACATTATTAGAGAAATTGAGAAAATCTGAGTATGGACTATATAGTATAATGTGAATGTGAAATTTCCTGATTGCCCATATGTTAGCCTTCTGTGGGAGGGTACTCTTGTGCTTAGGCGTGAAATGTCACAAGTGTAAGACTTGAATAAGCTAAAGTGACTCCATGCTAATAGGCCAGACTGTGCTTCTTCATATGCTAATTGCTAACTTGGCTGACAGCCCACCCAGGGGCAACTGGTATGACAAAAGGTGACCATAGAACATTTCCTGCATGAGATAAGGAGTGTTTGGAATCTTGTCCTCTGGTAGTTCTGTGAATGCCCTGACCTGTGTTTGAACTTTTTTGTTTAGAAAGACCCTATAAAAAAGACCTCAGCCCCTGAGTGGTGCCTCTCTGAGCTACCTGGCTCCGGTAGCGCCGTCTGGCCAGATGTAATGAGCATTGTGAGCAGCCATGAGCTGACAGGCTAATGTGACAGGCATTACAAGCAGCCATCAGCTGACAGGCAGTGGCAACCAGATGATAAGGCTAAGTAGCTCAAAAGTGTGACGTGTGAGTTTGCAGTAAAAGTAAGATTAAGGTTTGGAATGTCCCCGATGAGGTAATGTACAGACGCTCAGGCGTCGACCTCAGATTAAGAGTGTGTTAAAATAGGATAAGGAATGAGAAGAGGTATAAAAGACCCCAGGAACAGACCTCCGTCGGCTCGTCCGCCCTTGACGACCCGTCAAGTGGACCCGCCGAAGCTCTGCCCGGGACGCAGACACTCTGCCGGAGACGCTCTCCCGTTCGAGACGTCAGATGCCGGAGGACATCATGAGACCTTGAAGCACGTCGCAGCGCGACCCTGCCGCGTCCAACACCACAGGCGCCACGGACTCAGGTCGTATACCCGGACTCTTTCCCGCAAAGACTCTAGCCTAGCCTCGGCGCCAGCCCAACTGCTCTGGGCTGGCGCTTCATCGCCTCAGGCTGGCACTTTGCATACATCCCTTTGGCTATTGTTATATTTGTTGCTTGTCTGTGTGTAACTAAAGATATAGTAATAAATGAGACTATTCTCGAGAAACCATTCGCAGTCGTCTCTCATACGTGGGATCCCGAGTTATTATTTCGGTGCTCGCGACAGTTGGCGTAGTCGGCAGGATCCCACGTTCAATAATTTAGACTGCAGAGTTTTAATTCTAAATTAATGCTGTTCTTGAGTTTATCGAACAATCAAGCGATTACCATTACTCCACGAAGCCAACTCAGGGTAAAACCTGAGGAAGAACGGGTTATTGAAGAGCAGGGAAAACTCAGGCTGAAAACACCACCCTCCCTAAGGGTGCGGAAGTAAGCCTACGGGAGATAAACTCAATAACAGCTAAGATAATTTTTAGGCAAATTTGAAAATTGGTCAATACTAAATTCAAAAATTAATGAAAACAAAATATTGATAACTGTCAATGGTTTCTCAGAAAATTTGAAAAAAATTGAAAAATTAGAAAATTTTTAAACTGTTTTGCTAAATCACTATAAATATGGAGAGGCTGATTAACAAGCTTAAGAAAATGAAACTAAGACCGGTAACGGGAGAAATGCCTCGATCTAGTGAGGAAGGAAAATGGAAAGAAATCGCCAAGTCCGATAAAGGTAGGACTAATGTGAGTCCAATTGATGTGGAATCTGAATTAACAGACCCCAATCTAATAAAACCTCTAACAGATATAAATATAGGCTTAGAGATAGGAATAGATAGGGAAATAAAAAATACAGAAATAAAGAATACAGAACCGGTATTAGTGGAAACTGTGCAATTTATGGGCAATCATCATTGGCTAGCCAATAGTGTGAAGGAACACAGGGAACCGGCCATTCCCCATGAACATCTGTTCCCCACACCCTCTTTCCCGAGGGATTTTAGGTATGAAATTGAAAATGAGTATAGAAATGAAGAAACCGGTGTTAGGTTAATTAGGCATAAAAATAAAAATAAAGAAAGTGAAACTACTGCGATGAGAACTCCGAAACAATTGGCACAGAGGCTCCCAACCTCGGGTGGTCCAGGATCGGCTGCTACCCCCAAACAGGCCCAAACCTCGGGAATAGAGTTACAGGAGTCTAGGCCGTATGCTCGAGGGCATACGGCAGCCCACAATAGAAATAGGATAGATAGGCATGCACAGTATGTAGGTAGACTGTGGCAAAAAAGGGCCAACACAGCCATGCAGCATGTAACATTACATGAAAATGAGATGTTACATGAAAGAGAGATGAGAGAGATAGGGTGGATCGTAGAGGATCCAAAGATTTATGAAGCATTGGAACATGTTCTAGAAACATCCAGAGGTGAAATCCATTCACTATTAGATTGGTTAACAGCAGCTTGGAGACTGGCTTTTCCTTCATCGGATCTAACCCAATTTGAAGCTAGCGCAAATTGGCATATTTATCGCGAGGCAAATAACATCTTAAGGAAATTAGGAACATCACATTACTCATACAATCAAACAGAAACTCCCCAAATGACATCCACACGACCGAAATTTAGAAAAAACACATTCAGAAAAAATTTTAAAATAAGCCTCACAGGAAACTTAAATGCATGTAGAACTATGGGTGAAGCAATTCAGCTTTCCAAAAATTTGAACCAGAAATTAAAACCATTAGGAGTGAAATTAGAAAGAATAACTTACACCAAAGAACAAAGGAACAGAAAAGCAAAGAATAAGAAAAATTATATACCAATACGATTTCAGAGTATAGTTACACACCCTCGTCAGACAACCGAATTGTTCGGGAACCAAACAAGAATACCGACACGACCTATGCAGAATATGGGACCTTCTAGGAGACAATGTAGGAAGCGTCTTACATTCTAATCCCAGAGTTAGAGTAAATTCCACTTAGATTAAGATAAATGCTGCTATAAAGAGTACGTACTCACATGAAACGGTTTTAAAAATAGAAATATAGGATAATAGAAATATTACGGCGCCTATAGAATTAGAACTGCATTTTTCTGATAAGATGTATAAATTAGATATAGTTATAAGTTAATTAAAAAATCATAAGTCATTTATAAGTTAGATATACCAAGTTGTTTAGCACCCTCTACTGTTTTAGGTATAAAACTTATTAAGTTACTTTTTACTAATAGTAGAAATAGAAATGTAATTATAAGATAAGATATATAAGTTAAATAAGGCAATAAGCATAATAATTAACTAATATATTAATTATAGTATAAATGTTATTAAAAATTGTTGTTATTAAAAATACATATATATATAATTACTATATGACTGACTTAATAGAAGTTAAGAATTGATAATAATATGGAACTTTAAATAGATACTATATAGTTTTAATTATAACTTACTAGTATAATCAATAAGTAGGACTAATGATAAGCAGTCCGGACCATTATCCTAATGATCAAACAGCATAATTATTTAGGATATATTAGAAAAGAAAATATTTTTATAATTAAAGGACTATAGACAATAGGAAATAAAAATTGGAACCATACCAATTGGCTCTTATTATAAAACTTCTCATGGTCAGAAAATAAATACTCTCTTCTGAGAGGACCATCTGGGCTATATATAAGGCTTGCCAATCAATCCAGTTCCACGACCGTAAGACGACTATACACTCACCAAGTCTCCCTAATGATGACCGAGAATCAGCGCAAGGACAGTTTTCACAGTCCTCGGACGCGATTCTGCGCCCAGGGGGTGGAACGTCTAACGCGAACTGATTACAATCGCCTGTGAACCCAGGCATAAGAAACAAGGGAACTTGACAATGTGAGTCAAGATATGTTATCCACGGATCATCAACAAGGCATCATAGCGAACGGCAGCTTATAGGCCAGAGGATGGTTAGATTTTAACTGACCAATGAACAGAGAAGCCTGTATAGTAAATACAGGTACCACCAATATTATGTGACAAATAGGCAAATTAAGAATAGAAAGAAAAAGATACCAAACTTACGTACTGAATTATGATGTGTAGCAAATGAAAGTGCTGTATGGTCAGGAAAATGGGAAGAGACTAAACTGAAGTTAATAAAAAGAAAAAATCGAGAAAAAAATCACATATAAAAGTAGGATGAAACATAGAAGAACTATAGTGTAGCTAATAAATTAATAGTATTACTAATAAATACTAAGATATTAAGATAAGGAAAATTTATAAGATAAGGGATATGAATCCACTTAGGAAACCCATCTGTGTGGTGTTCTGTCCTTCGTCTGTTCATTGATGAAATAGAGACAGTGACGGAAGGAGGATAGAATATTAAACAGACTATTGATTATTGATTATTGACTATTGATTATTGTCTATTGATTATTGATTATTGATTGAAAATCCAAAATTGTATGAGAAAATGGGACACATTGGTGCCCATGCACTCAAACAATGAATGAACATGAGGCATATTGATGCCCCGAGATGTTAGACAATTCACCGGTGTCATTGGACACTGGAAAGGATTATTAAAAGATTTAAACCGATTTGAGGAGATCTAAGCATGGCCAAACCAGGGAATAAACCATATTGGACCACGTGCACACTAGTTTTAATACAAAGGCACATCCAAATTTGAACCATCACAGGTGACATAATCAGATCAAAAATTCATTTTAAGAACTTTCATTAAGCTATAGCCTAACCTCTACTGGGACGATCGAGAGATGAAATGCGCACAGAAAGAGTCCCATGGAGGAAGCTATATCTTAGACACAAGTGATAGATTACTCACTGGAAGTAGATGGCAATATAACCAGACCACATGTTTGTGCCTACAGGAACGCAAGGACACTATACAATACATAAGCTGAGGTCGTCGCCCCTGGACCCAGGAATAATATCTGGATAACCCAAGGTAAGGGTGACCTCAGTCTAAAAAGAATTGGAAGAAATGAAAAGTTTCTACCAAGCTTTATTTATAACATTAGTGTTGATAACATCAGCAATATGGGGAATTACAGCTCCAATAGTGCAGTACACTGGAACATGCAAATTAATGATAAAGAACAATCACCCAATTTTAGGATATGCATTAAATTACACTATATGTTGGTTGCCATATTAGTAATGACACCAATAGTAATGACACCAATAGGAAAAATAGAAAATACCAGCTCTACTACATCTGTTAGTACAACAACAGAAACAACAACTACATTACCAACAACACCTACAACAACTACATTGCCAACAATAGCAGTTAAAGATATACCAACCAAAAATATTACAAATAGATGGCCGCAGTTTTGGAAAGATATAAGAGATTGGACACAGATAACTAGTACATTTTATAGTTGGTGGCAAAAATTTGCTCACTGCATAGAATATTCATGGTCAAGAAATTGTGAAAAGTATCGAAAGGCAACTGGACACCATTATCATTTTAAAACGTACATGAGTATGATGGAGTCAGAAGTAACAGATTTAGATGAACAAAATCCCATAAAGTGTCATAAAATAGAATTTTGGGGAAATAAAACTAGTCATATGGCAATATATGCTATAGCATGGAAGCAAGTACAAGACCTGCTGTTAATGGAAGTAAAAGTTAATAACGTATACCATACAGTGAAGTTAGAACCAGCTCTAGGGGATGATAAGGTAGATCCACAATTATCAGCAACATTCACTTGTGGTTTAGGAATAAATATGACTTATGCCAGACAATGGTTCCAACCTCTATTTCTCCAATCATGGGAACCATTAAGATTTGCAGAATATAACAACACATTAGAAGAAATTGAGGAAACTAATCATCCAGACATAAGTATTATAGAGGAATTAACTGGACAAATGAACACTCTCCAAGAAGATTTAGGAATAGAAATAGAAATACCAGATACTGAGGGTTCTGCAATATCAGAATTTTATCATAGGCGTGAACACCCAATAACAGAGAAAGAATTAAATCCCATGTGGATTTCTAAAGGAATTCCACATTTACCCAAACCATGGGGAAATATTATGCGTAGCAGAATTCCCAAACCTTCCTTTTTATGGAAACTTAACACCAGTCAACGATACTGGACATGAGTATCAAGACAAAAACTTACCTTCAGCAAAAACAAATGACACATGGTTTTGGTCAGATTGGGCAAAAATCCTACCTTTAGGAGTAGAACATTGGAAATTCCCATTAATTTTAACAAGTGTCCTACAACAACCTTGGACAATTAATAGACAAAAGAAAGGATTTTATACATGCATTAAACCACATATATGTCAGAGAATAATATATCAGAATTGTACTATATGGGGATGTATTTATGAAAATACATTAGAGATTAAAACCATGCAAGTCACACTCAAAGGGACAGACGGTACTGACTACGTATATAAATTTGCAAATTATACAGATATAGAAGATATATCACTAAGAGAATGTAAGAATGGAAATTTTACAGTACTTTTCTTAGATAAGCATGATATAAATACAACTGTATGGAACTATCCCAATGCAACAGATCCAACATATCCGAGATGGGTATATAACGGTACAGATAAACCGTGGAATCTAAGATATAATATGTCATCCACCCAGAGAGATTACATACATACAAAACCAAATGATGAGTGTAAGACAACTACAGATGAAAAGACTTGTAGAAAATACAACTTCATATGCGCACACCATTTGACAGGATTAGATGAATTTCCAATACCATATGATGTTGATTTCAATTTTACTAACATTATAAGAAATATCACCACAGAAAAAACTCAATTTTTTGAATTTGTAAACATAACAGATGCAGTTGAAAAAGTAGAATATAAGTTACCCCTTATAGAAGATTTATATCCAACATACTCACTAATAAATAGAGGAGTAAGTAGAAAAGTGTTATCAGACAAGAATCTTAGAGCTTACTACAAGACAGGATTTAATGCATCCATAGAGTGGTTAAGAACTCTCAATATGACTATAACCAGTGGAATAGAAATGGGATATTCAGGATTTTCATACTACTTTTCAGCATGGGGAATAGACCCTATTATACAACAATGGATACCAATAGAATGGATAGCACATGCTCCCAAAGGAATGAACACCACCTTCACTGTAGTAGATTGGGACACAATTACATATATTCCAGTTACACATGAAATATGGCCAGATAAGAAAATACACGAAGGAAAATTGATGGATAGAGGAGGAATTACACGAGAAATAGGCCCAGATAAGAATGGCACTATGAAGTATAAGACTTATAAATTCTACACAGCACACTTCCCTCAAGGATATTTATACCCACCTCCTAGTGATAAGCCAACAGTAGTAGAAGCACCTATGATAGTACCAGACATGAGTACCCCAGCAAAATTGATACTTTTCCCTAGAATAAGGAGAATACAACTAAAAATAGATTTAACAACGTTAGCTCCTACAAAAGGTTACTGTAATGATGCTACAGAACCATTATACTTTCAATTATAATATACAACACCATTAAAAACTGGACGCAAACCCTTACAGTTAATGGCTATAGGAACAATACTGGCAGGAGCTCTATTAGGAGGAATTATGGGAGGTGGAGTTTCAGCAGCAATGATACAACCTATTAAAGCACAGTTATTGCAAATACATAAATTGGATAAAATAACATCAGAAGCAATAGCAGCTATGTCAAATTCACTAGATGCTTTAAATATCCTTAGCCAACAAATGAGAGCAGAATTAGAAATCCTAAAAAGGGAACATGGAGCAACACAACAAAGAACAGCAGATCAAATTTTAAGAAACCACGATGGATTAATGTGTGTACAATACAGAATGACTATGGAAAAAATGATCAGAGAATTAGACACACTGTTCATTACAGGCTTAGGAAGAAGAACACCAGAATTTCAGACATTACTAGATCCCACTCAACACAGCTCATGTGAAGCAGGCTTATGTAATTTAAACGTTATCCAAATTTTCTTAGATAACTCATATGCAGCATATCATACTAGACCCATACCACAGCTTTGGAAAACAAAATTGGATCCATGGAATTCTTTATAAACAAAATGGATCACACCAATAGACCATTTCCTATTTACATCCATAAATGGAACCCCAGCATATGTACCTCAAGAAGATTGTTATAGCTTAGGGACAAATGTATTTGTATATCCACATTTGCCAATACACAAATTAACAGAGACAAGACTAGCACCTACTACCATGACAGATATGATACAAGAGATGGGAGATTGGACATTCTTAGCATGCACAAATACTAACACGACTCTCACATGTACAAACTTAAATACATCAACATATAATGACACAACCTCACAATTAGATATAATACCTGGATGTTGGATGATACATAATTGCTCTATATTAAGAAAAGGCAATGACACATATGTAACAGAAATATCAATTGAATCAAGTCATTTATATAGTACACCAAAATTATTTCTAGAAGATCTTGAGAAAGAACATTATGAACAATTTATAAAAAAGAACCAGGAAATTCAGGCAATCTCAGAACATAATCAAAAGCAATTACAGGCCATACATAATAAAATAATGCAACAGCAACACACTTTGACTAGATCACAACAAGAAATACACCAGTTGGTAGGACTAATACGAACAAATACAATCCTACCAAAATCATGGAATACAGATATAAAGAAGTGCACCTTCTTTGATTTTATGGTAAGACTGATACAACTAGATTTTGTATGCACCCCACTATATCATTGGTGGGAATACTTCAAGGAAGGATTATACATCGCTTCTTTAACAATAATAATGATGATTACTTTAAAACTTTTCTTCCAAATTATAAGAAAGAAGAAAAGGAAGAACAAATATGCACACCTCAGGAAGCGAAAGAAAATTTGAAATAGCTAAGATTAAACTTTGTTATTGCTACTGCTATACTTGCTTCTACCCTCATTACTATTACCACTATTATGCAATCTACTTCTTTCAGCATAGCTATCATAATAAGTGTTGGTGGAATACACCATACACAAAAATATCTTTAAAACATTGTATCAGGAATATTATAATAAAACATAAAAAGAGTGTTATATTAATTTAATCAACAACATTTAAGCTATTTTGCAGACAATGGCACCATCAAGAAGACGCAAAAATCACTCCGGACGGATATGTGATTTGATGCAACCTGACGGCGCAAGGATCACATTAAAACATTATTATCACTTACATTGTTATGATTTGCTTACAAATATGGGTTTGCTACCAACACCAGAGCAAGCATTGTTAGAATGTCATTTTTGCAAAAATCGCTTTTCTACTCGCTTTCTTCCAGGAACAAATAATGATGATAGATTACTGTGGCTCATGTATCATTTCATAGAACATGGTGATATTTGGATTGAGACACACCCAATTCAACAATACTTACATATGCTTGCAAGCTTAATTTCGTGCTATGTGTGCAAAGGAAATTATTCAAACTATATGCTATGCAAAAATTTAATAAAACATAAACCAGAACAGTCCTATCGATTATTAGAAGGTGACTGGTACTGCAAAAACTCAATAGAATCAGTACACACACCAAATTCATTGCATTCACGGTGCATGAGAATGACGTTAAAACCACTATTATATGATTTGTTGTTTGAATATAATGCTTATACAACTTGGTATGAGCTCAATAGAACATATAGAAAAAAGAGAAATTTACACATACAAAAAGGATATGATTGCAACTACTGAAAGAAATTCATATTAGATGCGCCGTAAGACTTTGTAAACCCCTGTTTTACACAACCAGCTGGGACCCTCTTGTTAATGAGGGGCCCTAATAGTGACACCTTTTATGCTGAGATCATCTCAGGTATCAGGGGGTGGAATGTAATGAGCATTACAAGCAGCCATTAGCTGACAGGCAGTGGCAACCAGATGATAAGGCTAAGTAGCTCAAAAGTGTGACGTGTGAGTTTGCAGTAAAAGTAAGATTAAGGTTTGGAATGTCCCCGATGAGGTAATGTACAGACGCTCAGGCGTCGACCTCAGATTAAGAGTGTGTTAAGATAGGATAAGGAATGAGAAGAGGTATAAAAGACCCCAGGAACAGACCTCCGTCGGCTCGTCCGCCCTTGACGACCCGTCAAGTGGACCCGCCGAAGCTCTGCCCGGGACGCAGACACTCTGCCGGAGACGCTCTCCCGTTCGAGACGTCAGATGCCGGAGGACATCATGAGACCTTGAAGCACGTCGCAGCGCGACCCTGCCGCGTCCAACACCACAGGCGCCACGGACTCAGGTCGTATACCCGGACTCTTTCCCGCAAAGACTCTAGCCTAGCCTCGGCGCCAGCCCAACTGCTCTGGGCTGGCGCTTCATCGCCTCAGGCTGGCACTTTGCATACATCCCTTTGGCTATTGTTATATTTGTTGCTTGTCTGTGTGTAACTAAAGATATAGTAATAAATGAGACTATTCTCGAGAAACTATTCGCAGTCGTCTCTCATACGTGGGATCCCGAGTTATTATTTCGGTGCTCGCGACACCAGACTAATAAAGGTCTTGTTAGGGAATTGATCATGTTAAAGTATGCTGTGACGCCGCCTCACAGGCTGCATTCTCCTGGTACATCTTGGCTCCTAAAATGACCTCATGCCCTTATCTCTGGTTTCCCTTCCCGCCAAGGCCACAGTGGTCCAGGAAAGTTGAAACCTGTGTCTGCAGGACTGGGCCCATAAAAGCAATCTGGCCTGTGATAGGTTAAAAGTAGCTCACTCCTCATAAATAAGCAATAGCCCACCCCAAAACTGATAAAAGGACCTTCCTTTCTTTGTTCTTCTCTCTCTCCTTCTGCTTCTTCCTCCTCTCTCTCTTTCTCTGTCTGTCTCTCTCTCTCTCTCTCTCTCTCTCTCTCTCTCTGCCTTCCTGCCTTCTGCTCGCCTGCCTACAATAAAGATCTCCTGCCAGACCTCTCGGTGCATGAGTGGCCTAATTGGGAAGGGGCACCTGAAAGGGCACGCGAACCCCCTTTCAGGTCTGTGTACCATCTAGCCTGGTGTGTTCCCTCCTGGGTTTTTCATTCCTCCTCCCGGAGCCTCTGGGTTTTAAGACCCAGCATCGTGGAGGCCTTATCAGCTGTTCACACTCTGGAGTGGAAGCGAGATTTAGTTCTTACCCAAGGTCTACAACTCTCAGACTGTCCAAGGATAAAAGCTGAAGGAAAGAGAGTGAAACAGATGACAGTAAGTAAATGTTTAGTGCACATAGGTGAAGATATATGGGTATTCACTGTACTGTGCTTGCAGATGTGTAAGGTTTTTAATTGTCCAGAATAAAGCTGGAGAACTAGGCCTATATTCTAGCTTCACCTTCACATGTAGGTTTGGCAGGGAATGAACTAGATTCCTTTGAATTAAACAAGATATAATAAATTAGCCATAACTTGTAGTCAAAATAGCATAGGACAGGGCCGGGGATTTAGCTCAGTGGTTCTGCCACCTGCCTTGGAAGAGCAAGGTCCCAAGTTTGATCCCCAGTACCAAAAAAACAAAACAAAACAAAACAAAAACCTTAAAAATAGCATAGCATAAAATGGTGCTTACCCCAAAAGTGCTGCCATTGACCAGGTCCGAGCACCCTGGGGCAGCCGTCCCACAGGTCACTTCCAGCCCAGACACTGAAACCTGTCCTCAGGAAGTAAGCAGAAGAGTGACCACTGCCCTGAGTGATGACTACTCCTCAAAACTCCAGAGCAAGGGCCTCCCAGAGCTCTCTAGATGAGCAGAAAGTGGAGAGATCCCTGTACTTGACTCTGGCTCCTTGATTGCTTCTCTTGGAGATAAATTTTGACTCTGCAGTAACATTTATCTGTTCCCACAGACCTAAGAATGGCTGAGCATGGGCCTGTTCTATAGCAGAGACTACAGTGGGGTTTGGCAGTTCCAGACCCATTCTGTTTTGTTTCTTGTTTGGTCTATAAAACATTTTCAATTAGCTGCTGACAAATATTAAGGAAGTTCACATAAAATTCCAGATTTCATCTGCTCACAGGAAACTGAGGGAGTTGACATTCCCTCTGAGTCCACAGTCCCTCAGCAACAGCCAGCTGGAGCTGGGGTCAGTTGCTCCAGTGGAGAAAATGTGACATGCTGGCTCTCCCCAGCCCCACCACTCCATCTTTCACCCGCTGCATGTATTCACTCATGTGATTCTTTCTGTTGTCCGCCTGGTCTCTGGGCAGATCTGAGCTGGAGTCAATATCAGGGCTGTAAACCAAGGGAGCAAGCATATGCTGGATTGGGGATCAATCTATACAATGCAAAGTGCAGAATCATGGGTGTTTACATAGGTTAAACTCAGAACAGCTGTCTGTGGGTTCACAGAGACACCCTGTTATGAGCTGAACCATACCCCTAAAACACCCACATGCTGAAGTCCTGATCCCCAATACCTCAGACTGCGACCTTCTTTGGAAGCAGAATCACTGCAGCTAGAAGCCAAGACGAGGCCATACTGGAGTAGGTGGCCTCTGATTCAATACGACTGTAGTGCTTAGGACACAAGGGAAGTCTGGACACACACACAGGGACCACGCCACGTGGAGACGGAGGCAGAGGACAGGTGATGCTGCTACCGCCAAGGAGTAGCACAGATTGCCAGCAACTGCCAGAAACGAGGGGAGCGGCCAGGAACAGATTCCCCCTCATCCTCCACAGCAGGAGGAACTCGCTCTGCCGGCCCCTGGACCTCAGACTTGCCAGGCTCCAGAGCTGCGGGACAGTGCATTTCTGTTGTTCCAACAGCACTGGCCCCCAGGGCTGTCATGCAAGTTAATTTACTTTCTACCTAGAAGAGCCCAAAACAGTGCATGGTACTCAGGAAGTGCTATACAGTGCTGTTTACTATCATCATCATCTTCATCATCACCATCATCATGACCCACATAAAGCTTCGTTCTGAACTTTGAAAGACCAGAGTCTATACCAAACCTTAAAAACCATGAGCTAAATCAACCTCCTTTCATTATAAAGCAGCCTGCCTCAGCATTTCATGACACTAACAAAAAGCTAACACACACACACACAAAAATAAAGTCACCTGTCTAAAGAATTAAAGGAAGGTATGAGGACAACATCATCAGAGAAAAATAAGTAAAGAGAAAGTACTTTAGAAAGAAGGAAGGTAATATATTTCTAAAGCCAAAAAATACAGCATCAGATGTGAAATGTTCACTAGAGGTATTCCAAAATGGATGTGAGCTGGTTGAAGAGTTAGAAGATTTTAAAGGTAGATCAAGATTGTGTCATCTGAAGAACAAGAGTGTGAATGAACAGAGCCCAAAAGCAGTGCACACTAACATAGGTGACTACAGTGGCACAGACAGGAGAGAGGCAGGCAGAAGAAAGTATTCACTGAATCATGGCTTGAAAACCTGCCAACACTGACAAAGAGCAGGCAACCTCAGTGAACTCCAACTGTGACATAGAAACTTCAGACAACAAACACAAAGACACATTATAATCAAAATACCTAAAAGATAGGACAAGAAAATCTTGAAAGAGAATAAAGTTATCATGCAACACACACGCACACACACACACACACACACACACACACACACACACACACACGAACCCCAGTCTGACTAACAGCTGACTTCTCATCAAAAAAGACAGTGGCCAGGAGGCAGTGGGACAATACAAGGTGCTCAAAGAATAAAAGCAGTCAAGAATCTCATATCCAGAAAAACTTTTTCAAAAATGAAAGCAAAATTTGGGCATTCCCAGATAAATCAAAGCTGAGAGTCTGTGACTAGCAGACCTGCTGTACAAGTGCAGGGAAATATTTGAGGGTGAAAGCAAAGACACCCAAGTGTGACCCAAATCCACAGAAACAAAACGAGGAGTGCTGGAAAAGATAGATGTGTGGGAAATTACAAAGAATGGTTTTAACAACTATGGTTAAATTTGTGACATACATAGACATCCTTATGTGACAGAAACAGCATAAAAGGGTGGAAAGAAATAGCTGTACAGGAGTAAAGATTCTACGTGTCACCAGAATTAACACAAATCCAAGTTTTATGTATATTACTAGTCCCAGATCAAGCACCAAAGAACATCCACAGAAGACATCACGCTTGATGAGGAAAGACCATAAGGAAAAAGGTGAGACATCCACTCCAGCAACCTGTATCCAACACTGCACCAGGGTTCTCACCAGAGACAAACAGCAGGCAGGCTGGAAAGGAAAAAGGAATAGTGTCTCTTCACACACAGCAACATCTAGTACACAGAAAACCTCATAGAACCCACAAACACTGCTGGATTCCTAAGAAATCCACACAAAATTAACATAGTAAAATCAACATTCAGTCAAAATAATGAAGAAACTAGTGCTACAGAAACTGTGCTCAGGGATGGAACCTTAAAACGTGCTGAGTGAAAACTAAACCAGAAGAGTGCTAAGTGACACAGGCCAGATGCCAAACAGTGCACGGTGTCAGTGTGTGTCCACAGAGACAAGACACAGACGGGGCTGTTAGGGTGACTGTCGGGGATGACAAAAGCATCCTCAAATCTGTAGTGACAGTCCCCAACTCCTGAGAATGCAAGGAACACTGACTTGTACCCTAAAGCTGGATGATTTTTATGGCATGTGAATTGCATCGCAATAAAGCTTTGTTTTGTATTTTTTGTACTGGGGATCAAACTCAGGTCCTTGTGCTTGTGGGGCAGTTGGCAGCACCACAGAAGCTGACCAGGTGTGGGCAGGGAGAGGGCTCCAGAAGGAACCATGGCCAAGAGGGGAGCTGTGCCCATCAGTTCCTAGAAGGGTGGTTTCTGAGGTGGGGCTGGTTTTTTAGGACAGAGTCTTGCTGTGTAATCCAGGCCTCAAACTCATGGCAGTCCTCCTGCCTCAGCCTCTTGAGTGCTGGGACTGCTGAAACATTCTTTGAAAAGAGGTACTACATACATGATGGGATGGGGAGGGGCATCGCCACCTCCACCTTCCTACAGTCCAAGCAAGGACTAAGAATTAAATGGACATAAGATAAACAGGAAAAACACACATAGGACTGTTACGGCTTGTATCTAGATTTTCCCCTTCATGTGATCATAAGTGGGGCCTTTTCAGAGGTGGCTGGATCTGGAGTGTGTGACTGATTCATGGTGCGAAGCCAGGATTAAGGGTGCTAGGATGAAAAGTGTGAGTATTACCCAACCTAAGGGGGCACAATATAAAGGGCAGAACGAGGCTTGCTATTAGTTACTTGTAGTTGGTCCCTTGGACTCACTTGCTTTGCTGCCTCCTGCCTGCTCTGCCGTGGACTGCTTTTCCTCTGTGCTGCCCCTCTGCCATGCCACCCTGCCTTAGAGCCTACCAACTATGGACTGAGACCACTACAAACTGCGGGCTAAATAAACTTTTCCTCTTTTAACTTTGAGGGTCAGGTATTTTGTCCCAGCAACAAGAAAAGTAGCTAAGACGTGGACCATAACCCAGGAACCTCACAGGAAGGGAAGACTCGAAGGTGAGGCAAAGCCTTGGCTGGACAGAAATCTCCTGCCAAGCAAGAGCAGTGGCAGGGGAAAACTAAGCCGGTGGGGAGGCTGAGGACCTGCCCACTGCGCCTCCCCATGAAGGATGTGTCCTTTCTCCTAGTGCAGGGAGGACATCTCTCACAGGAAAGGTGGCTCTGTGTCAGCATTACATGGCCAGGCCAGGCACCGGCTGTTCCCCCCACACACTGCAGGGGCTTAGGGCCCCTCAGCTGGCCCGACCCCTGCCCAGCCTGCCCTCCAGCTGCCAGCTCCGTGCTGGGAATGGCAGGGGCCTCTCCAGTCCCGGAGGCTGCCGCCCCCAGCCTGTGGCTCCTCCCACCCCACCTCAGGACGTCCCACTCTGACCTCGGGTTCCCCCCAGATCTCCCCAGGCAGACACTGGCTGCAGAGGGAAGCCGCCCATCCCTCAGGTCCCTGCTGAGCCCCTCTCAGAGCCGGCAGCCTCACGACCTTCAGTCCCGGGGCAGCAGAGCAGCCCCTGCACGGGTGGGACCATCATGCTCGCAGCCTGTGTGGCCTCCTTTGCCCCGGGAAGCTGGGGACTCGCGTGGGGGCTCTGGGAGGAAGCTCAGCCCCTGGGGAGCTGTGTCTCCTTCTAGGTCCTCCCAGAGCCAGCTGTCAGAGACCTGGACTGCAGAGCTGGCGGGAGACTGCCGGCCCGGCCACCAGGGGGAAGCACGCACGGCGGCCCCAGGACACGGGGGTCCCCGCGTGGCCTGCACAGCGTGTCGGACGATCCCGCGGCCCCGGAGTGCGGTGCTGGGAGGCTGTGTCCAGGGAGGGGGTCACAGGACTAGACGCAGCCCGGATGCCCACTCGGGAGGAGCAGAGCCGTGGTCTCGGGACGGGGATGGGGACCAGAGGCAGGGGCGAGGACCCCGAAAGCCCGGGAAGCCAAGTCCGTAGCCCAGGCTGAGAGAGTCAGCTCCGCTCTCTGCGGGGTCCGAGTCCCCGGCGGGGCGGCCGCCTGCTTCATTGGCTCCTGCAGCGGGACGTCGCCGTCCCTTCCCCAGGAAGAGGTACAGGACCCGCGGCGCTCACAGGGCGTCCAGCAGAGGGAGCCCCGGCCTCAGTGCCCTTCCTCACCGCTGCCCACCACAGGGCTCCAGGTCCCTCTGCACAGACGCCCGGCACCTGGCGTGGGGAAGGTGACCCACTCGCACTCGGTCTCGGCCGCGCCTGTCAGAGGCGTCTTCTCTTCTCTCCCGCAGAAGGGCTCCCTGCCCAACACTTCAGGTGGGCGCTGCAGCCGCCAAGGGAGCTGAGCAGGGCCTGAGGGACTCCCGAGGACGGGGGTCCTGACCTGGGGCCTGAAGAGGTCGGGCAGCACCGCTCAGAACCGTCGGGAGAGGACACTGGCCGCAGCTTCTTGGCCTCGCGGACAGCGCCTGGCAGGAAGTGTCTTGGTCAGCAGCGTGGCTGAGGCCAGAGTCCCCTCCTGGGACTCGGGTGCCAGGACACAGGAATGTGTCACCACCGCCAGCACCTCCAGCTGAGGGGCCAGGCCAGGCTTTGACGCAGCCCCACGGGGGGCGGGGGCGGCTGGGACACAGAAGTGCAGCCCTCAGCCCCAGAGACAATCCCAGGACCCCGGGCAGGAGGGGGGACAGGTTGGCCGGAGACTCCGTCACCTGAGAGCGTCCGCAGGCCTCCACATGCCCCTCTCCAGGCCTGGGGACCCGTGTGTCCGAGCTCACATGGTGGCCACTCCCTGTACCCACAACAGACTGTACTCTGCCCTCTCTCACCTCTGGCCACCACGTCCGGGGTCCCCTGCACCAGGTACAGAGCCGAGCCCCAAGATCCACCAGGCTGCGCCTCTTGCGGTGAACCCGGCATCCAGCCCAGGACACATGGGACAAGTCCCCATGGGACAGGCTGGGCTCCTCTGGGCCAGGGACCCTGCATGGGATGGGGGTGCAGCAGGCTCCCAGTCCAGATGGCACCATAAGGAGCGGGCTCCATTCCCTGATGTGAGCAGAGGGCTGGCCCCCAAGGGTGCCCACATCCTAAGCCTGCCACTGTGCGCAGCACCCTACATAGCAGGAGAGCCACAAGGGCCGGTCAGAGCTCATGGTGAAAGTTTAATAAAATGCATTACAGTGACGACGCAGTGCCACGAGTCCCCCACAAAATCCTGCCCTCGTTTCACACACCCTCATCCCGTGTCCTGGCCCCTTCCTGCAGCAGCTCTGGAGTCCTCTTTCTGAGTGTCTTTAGTTGTGCTCTTCTGGATGCATCGATGTCCCGAGTGGATTCAAAACGTTTCCCTGTCGTGGTCATTTTGACTTTGGGGCAGAGCCGGAAGGCCCACAGTGCCAGATCCGGGGACTGAGGGGAAGAGGCAGTGTTTATGAGCTGCCTTTCTCCCAGACGGTGCTCGGCAGCAGCCCTCCCATAGGTTCTGATCACATCTCATAGACACACTTTGGATTTCAGGCCCCCGTCCTGTCATTGTTTCCCTTCACTCTTTCTGAACTCGGGTCCTGACCAGCTGTAACCGGGTACAAGGGAGGGACAGTGGGACTCTGAGGCTAATTCCTGGTGACATTTGCCCCCTGGGCCCTGGGCACCTGGTCACAGACAGTGCTCACCTGCCTCCCGCGGCGTGGTGGGGCAGCAGATTGCCACAAACCCTGTGGCTGGGAACAGCACAGATAGTTCCCCTGGTCTGGCGGCCAGAGTTCTAGGACCCAGGCATAGGCCCCACACTCCCCAGAAGGCTCAGGGCAGGTTCTCCTCTGGTCTTGCCAACTCCTGGTGGCTGCAGCATCCCTGGCTGGAGAACCGTGGCCCTGCTCTGCCTGCTGTTGTACGCTGTCTTCTCTGTGAGTACATCCTGAAGCCTCTCTGTAGAAAGCACCCCAGACAGCAGAGCAAGGAAGGGCCACCCCCCTGCACATGAGCTCCTCTAACTTGTGTCTGTAGACCTCTCCGGCTCAGCTCACATGCCGAACTCCAGGTCTGAACGGGAGGTGAGAGACACACACGTTCTGGCACAGGAATGAGTGTGAGAAGCTGCCACGGAGCTCCTGCCCCTCTGCCTCAGTGTCCCGCAGTGGGGCCAGGGCCAAAGCACTACAAGGGCGGCTGTGGCAGAAGGCCAAGGCAGTGGCCATCTGTCCCAACCCTGACCCTCTCCCCCCACCCCTGTCTGTGCCTACTCTACAATGTGGGAGCTCCTGCCATGGCTGGCGGCTCAGCCCAGCATCTCTCCGTGGATGCTGGGTCAGCAGGCTGGCTGGGGGTGGTAACTCTCGCATGCATGTCCTCATGGGGGACAGACACACAGACATGGACATCTGGTCAGGTGGACATTTGGGGACAACTTGAAAGCAAGGAAAGAGGCGCACGCACTTCCCAATGGTCACTTCAGTCACTGCCCAAGGTCATGGCTGGGGTCACCATACCTGGTCACTGCCAGGCCACAAACCCTGCCCCTGAGAGGCACAGGATGTGGCTATTCTGTGTCCCTGTCCATCTGCTGGGCTCAAAGTGAAACCGAACCCCAACCAAGAAGCTCACCGAAGCCTCAATGTCACTGCTACAGCAGGACAGAGCCCAGGGCTTCCTGCCCAGCTCAAACTGAGCCCAAGACTGCTCTGTTTTCTCCTCAGTCTGGCACAAAAGCCACCAGACCCCAGGCTTCTGCACAAGGGCCAGCTCACTCTAGCCCAGCCTGCTGCCTGTTTTATAAATAAAGTTTTATTGGAACACAGCTCTGCCCATGCATGCACAGACTGCCCATATGTCCTCCACACTGCCACAGAATGTCAGTGGGGGTGACAGATGCTGCAGAGAGAGGAGCAAGGTACCCTGGCCTGAACATCATCCCCTATGACACAGTGGGCTGGTCACAACAATGTGCTTGTCCCTGCCCCAGCACCATGGGTGCTAGGACAGCCACGGGGCTATGCCGTGTGTATCCCACCCTGGACACCAGCATCGTAACCAAAGGCACAGAACCCCAGGTGGGGACGGGGCACAGGGAACCCTCACTGTCACAACATGCCTGCTCTCTGCCACCTTCCCTTGGGCCATGGCAGCAGCTCGGAGCCTTGTCCCTTCAGAAGCTGTTGGCTGTTGTGTGCTGAGGACACTGAAAGTCTCTGAAGCCACTTTTCCTCCTTTGTTTTTTGGCTGAGGCCCAGTGCTGACGACCACTGCTGCTCAGGGTCCTGCCTTGTGCAGGGCACAGGAACCAGAGCAAACAATGATGAGCTCTTGGAACATTGCATTTGGGACAGGTTTTGCTGTACAAAACATCAATTTACTCAAATCCACCTCTGCTATCCCAGAAACAAGGGAGACAGGCTGGGGAAATGACCTCGGGGCCCTGAGCATCCCAGGCCGCTCAGGTGCCCTCTGTGCCCACCGGCCCCCAACCCCCAGCTGGCCAGTCAGGCTCCTCTCTCTGCAACTGCTGGCATCGCCCCTGCCCGCTCCTCTTCTGCAGGCTCCATGGAGTCCAGGGTCTTCTGCTGTCCACTGAAAATGCAGGGACACATAATGTCAACTGTAACTATGAACTCTGCAGGGTGTGCGCGTCTGTAGCCCACTGCTCCTGCCCACCAGGAGCTGCCCTTCCACTACCTCCCCCTTCCTCTCCTCTCTCCTGCTGTCCTTGCCAGGATGAAAGGGACGTCACCAGACCAAAAAAAAAAAAAAAAACCAGCATGCAGGACACCCAGCTGGACTGCATGCCTACCTGCTTTTGACAAGTCTCTGTTATCCAGTCCCTTGCTTCTACACCCAGGATGGGTTTCCTGCCAGCTGGTTGACCGGCAGCAGCAGCAAAGGGTCCGAACGCAGACTCAGATGGCCGGCCATCCTCCTGACCACCCAGTGCCCAGCCTGCCTCTCACAGCCAGCAGAGGCTACAGCTGTGCTGGGAGCAGGATCCCTATCTGTAGGCCACAGAGGTGAACAGGGGGCAGAAGAGGATGGGGCACACACAGGATGGGCTCGCTGGGCCTCCTCTTGGGAGGAGAGCCAAGTGGGTGGGATCCCCAGTGTGGCAGGCTTCACACGGAGGGCACAGCCTGTGTGCCGGCCTGCCAGGCATCCCAGCGTGAGCCACATGGCCATGGCGTCATCAGTCCATGTCATCTCCCAAGAGGTACAGCCCAAGAGAGATGGGGCCCTCAGAGTTTGCGGTTCAGGCGACCGGGGGCAGCTCCAGTGGAGGACTGGCAGGGCGGGTGCCCCGGGGTGGTCTCGAGTATGGGCCTGTGCCTGGGGTTGACAGTGAGAAGCTGGCAGAGGCACCAGGGAGAAGGGGACGTCTGCAGCTCAAATGGAGTCCAGGGAAGCAGCAGGATGAGCCCAGGCTCCAGAAGTGCACTTAGGGGCCGTCACCTCCCTGCCTCAGGACATTTCCAGGACACAGGACAGGGGACTTGGGGCTCCTCAAACCCCAAGTCACTCGCTTTCGTGTTGCCCTTGGCACCCAGCAGGATGTCCCCTGGGCAGGGCACACACCCCTGCCAGCCTGAAGTTTCCGCCCAGCCTCCTCCTCCCACCACAGGCCCACGTGCTGTTAGGGACAGGAAGCAGGGGTCTCGTGGAAGGGACGCAGCCCCTCCAATGTGTCCACCTCAGCAGAAGCCCGCAGCCGCCGCTGTCTCAAGCAGGTCTTTCACAGCCACTCAGCCCCGGGAGGTGGTGCTGGGCAGTGTCACTGACACACTCGCCCTGTCCAGTGTGACCCCGGAGGGACCAGGAGACGTGGCCACGAGTCACCCGCACGGGTCTCTATTCTGGCTCAGCATCCTGAATGCAGTGCCGGCGCTGGCCCCATTTGCAGGCAGCGTGGGGGCTCTGTGTAGATGACACGAAAGGCTCATCACACGGGGCACCGTCTCTCCCGACTGCTGCATTCTTCCACCCTTTCCGGTGAGTTCAGCCTCTTGGAAAAGGCTGCACACCTAAGTGTGAGTGTGCACTGTCTGCCTGGCCTATTTCATTCTGCACAATCACACGAAAATGTGTGAGAGATCGCACATGTGGGTGACTCCATCACGGTCTTCATTTCTCACTGCACATCGGTAGATCAAAATACCACTGGGCGCCCCCAAACACATACAATTTTTGTTCATTAGACCTCAAGAAATGCAAAAGCCAAACAAAGAAAAAATATGCAAACAAATTTTTAAAACACCCTCGATAAACTATGACTGGCCGGGGCCTTGTTTAGTCAGTCTCCTCAGAATCTCCCCATAACTAAGGCAGTAACCTGCCTCCGCCTGTGCTGCTGGAACCCCACGCAGGGACCCCATAATCATAAAGCAGGGAAATCTTTGTCCAGGCGTCTGCCAGGACCAAGATCCAGGGCCTGGCACCTGAGCCCCAGGCAGGCGGGGCCCCAGGCTGTGAGCGGCCCCTCTCTACTGCAGAGCCACCGCCCTCCCGTCCTCTCAGCAGCCCACCTCTTACTACCCAGCCTGTCAGCCTGAAGTCTCACGGTTCACACACACGGTAGGGGACACATTCAAACTGGGGTACAAACCTCCAGTGAGAAGTGTGCTCCGTGACAAAACAGGAACCGCTTTGGCACTGTGCCAGGAGGGACTTCAGGGGCTCTGGGGCCACCTCCCCGCTCACTGCAGCTTAACTCTTCTACATCGCTGAGGGAGGCTTTAAACAAGAGAAAGGTACGGTTTTATTTTGATTTTTGTTTTGTGGTACTGGGGATTGAAACCAGAGCCTTTGCACTGAGCTACAGCCCCAGCCCTTCTTTAAATTTTAAAACGGGGTCTTAATAAATCACTAAATTGCCCAGACTAGCCTCAGACTTGTGATACTCCTGCCTCAGCCTCCCAGAGTGCTAGAACTACAGGTTTGTGCCACCATGCCCAGAAAGGGCGTACTTACTGAAAAACAAAAATTATTCTTACGCACAGACAACATGATCAGAAGAAGACACAATGGAATACTCAAAAGATAGTATGAAAATGAAACAAATATACCAAATAAAATTAAGTCGAAAAATATTAACTGCATAGCAGGTCAACTCACAGTAGCCAGTCTTGAAGCAGCCTCAATGGCCACCAGCAGGAGACAGACAGAGAGAAGGCGGCGTTCACACACAAGGGAGTGGTGCTCAGACGCAAGGAAGGGGAGACAAGGCGTTTGTAGGAAATGGACGCACTGTGAGACCAGAACGTTAAGTGAAATAAATCCGACACAGAAGGGGACCAAGAGATGGAGTGGAAGGGAGAGAAGAGCAGGGGACGCAAAAAGGATGAAGCTGTGCTATGTACGTGCACTGGCTGTCCACGATGCATGTGGTCACTGTGGAGTGCAAACCTGTACTCATCAAACACCGAAATATAAAAACAAATAGCAACTGAAATCCTGCTTAGCAAAAAGGAACCATTAAAACATGAAGTCTACAAGTAATGTCATGATGTGGTACTGAAAAGGAACTGGAGTCACCCAGGCAAGCTGGCTTATCCTCATAAGGGGCACCACAGCTATACACAAACCTGATTTAAGACATGGGGCATCTCCTCCTTGTACCCTGAGGGCCCAGAAGCAAGCAGACCCCAGGAACAGCAAGCAGCCCCAGAGCCTGGTCCCTTAGACCACCACCAAGGACAATCAGTGGGGAGGACTTCCGGTCACCAACGCGGCCTGGAAGAGCCTGAGGTTGCACTCCATCCTAACGACACCTTCCGGGCCAAACAGGTCCTGGCCTTACGCACCTCGGAGGCGAGTGTTTGCTTGGTCTGTGGGAGGCCCTGGGTTCCCGTCCCTTGCACAGCCAAGAAAAAAAATCTGCCTGAACTGAAAATCAACAAATCTTACATATGTCAGAAAACTGAGGACACAGGGAAAACCACTGCTTCCAAAATTGGAGAAATAGAAGAACACAGATAATCACAACACACTGAAGCAGAAACCAAGGCACCGGGGTGAGGGGGGGCGCGTCTAACAGTTCTAACAGTTCAGGCCTGTGAGGGGCCTGTTGTAGAGGAGGCCGCTAGATGTGTGAGTTTTCGAGTTTTCGCTCTAGGAATCCTACCAGTTCTCGGGGTGAAGACTGGAGACAGTGCTCTCACGCCCCAGGGTCTGACACGTGGGTCCTTAACGCGTTAGCAGGGCCCGAACTCGGCTCCCTGCCAGGTGGCTCCAATCTGAATGTGTTACGTTCTTGCCAGCCTGAACCTCAGGTGCAGGGGCAGTCCCAGCAGGAGGCTTGCACCACCCTCCACCCCATGGGACAGTCACAGTCACACAGGGACCACAGCTGTCAGCAGTTGAAAGAACACAACACATGGCACAACGCCAAGAGGGCCAAGAAGGAATCTCAAGAAGCTTAGGAGTGTTTAGAGTTGAAGAAAGCGAACACCCGCACCACAACTCGGGGAGTGCAGCACCATCAGTGCCAACAGGAACTGTGTGGCACTGAACAATGCACCAGCGAAAGACAGATCCAAAACAAGAAACTAAATTTCCACCTTAGGAAATCAGAAAACAAGGAGCCAATTAAACCCAAAGTCAGCAGAGGAAAAGAAATAATAAAATCAGTGCACCAACAAACCAAAATGAAATTAGAGTAGCAAAGATAAATCAACCAAACAAAACTCTGGTTCTTTAAAAAAAAAAAAGTAAAAAAAAAAACTATGCTCCCCTAGCCGGAGCGGACAGAGGAGGGCGGGAGGATGCACGGGGCACACAGGCGGCCAGATCGCACCTGAAAACACACACCGAGGCGGGTGAGCGGCCAGGCAGCTGCACCTGTGAGAGGAGTAGAACCAGCAACACAGCCCAGGGAGTTCTCGGGGAGATTCAACTAAACACTCAAGGAAGAGATAACTCAGAAATCTTCCTAAACTCTTCCAGGAAACAGAAGCGAAGGGAACTCCCTCCCTTTCTGAGGGGGATCACCCCAAACTAAGCAAAATATCAGAAGGGGGATGACAGAACACAAGCCCTCTTCCAGGCAGATGTAAACATCCTCTACAAAACATGAGTAGTGTGGACAAGGACTTGTGCACCCGAGTGTGTATAAAAGCCCATCAATATAACGCACCACAGCCACGCCGCGTGACGCTGTCCTAGACTCAGAGGCGGCACCTGACACACCCAGCACCTGTTCCTAATAAAACCACAAGCGGGAACAGAGGGCTTATCTCAGACAGTCATGGTCACCACTCTGCATACCTTCTGAGGGTCACACCTGTCCCCCACACGACCTCACGCTTGTGGCCCTGACTGGCCATCACTCAGGGGTCAGTCCCCAGCAGGGCCCATGCGCACTGCCTCGCTGAGCTGGCTCCTAATGTTTCTGAAGGGCCAAACCGGGAAGGAACCTGTCCCGTCAGGAATAGCACACTCAGTGTGCAAAAGTGAGACTATGCAGAAAACCTTCACAGCGGCTGGGCACAGAAACACACACCAACGTGGCCCTGGCTTGCCAGGGTTTATTACGAATTTTACAAAAAACAGGAGAGTAGGCCACAGACTCCGCCCCAAGGAATGACGGATGTTCGAGGAGAGGGAAATAAATGCTCATTATCCTGGCTGCATCATTGTGCTTTATATAAATGGAACGAATAAATATGTGCACTTCGGCGATAAAAACTGAAATCATGAAAAATGTAAAACTTTCTAGATTTTCTCTGGTCAGGCAAGCAGAGGTTTGGAAGCGGCCCCTTCCCTCGGAGGGAGCCCCGGAAAGGGGCGGAGGCAGCGGCGATCCTGGCGCCCTGGGCCCTTACTGCTCAGACCTGAAGGAGGAGGAGCCAGCGGTGGGACTGGCCTGGTGGGGAGGAGTGTCAGGGGGGCGTCTCCTTCAATTTAAAAATCACTAGTGTGATTCCCGTATCAAGATGTGCAGGCGACCCAAGTGAGCAACTCCACACCTTCCCCACCCCACAGTCCACGCACCGAGAACCAGCAGGGGTCCGGAGCGCTCTTTCAGCACCCCACCATCTCCTGTCCACCCTCCCGGTCCTCCCCTCCCTGACAGGCGCCAAGTCACTGAACATGTGCTCCTTGGGGTCTGGCCCATTCACCCCTGGCATCCCGCGTGGGAGCCGGGGGACCCCCGGTGTGTACAGTCCGGGTGGGCGGGCAGCACTGCTGAGGTCCCGGAGGGTTCCGCTGACAAAGCCGTGGGGTGGCCCTCCGCCACGACCACTCGGCACGGCCCCCTAGATGCTGCCACCGTTTCTACAGCTGCCCACGAGGGCTCTGCACTCCCGATACTGCTCCCCATCAGTTTTGAAATTCAGTTTGGAGAAGCACATTTTCCTTATCTGGGGTAAGGCTCACGCGCATGTAAGGCACACCGGTCCACGTATGCACCGGTCAGGGCCCTGGGACTGCTCGCGGGCTGGGGACACATCCGGCTGTCACCAAGTCCTCCCTACACGGGGAGACTGAACCCATCCAGCAGCGAGCCCGCGAGGGGTCCCACCCCGGCGCCTGCGGCAGAGGCCTCCCGGAGGCAGAGACACAGCCCGTAGCTTCCGGGCCCTTATGCCAGCCAACAGGGACGCTGGGCCTCCCTCCCCGACCCTCGGCCCCCGCCCGCAG